GATGATACCTAGGCTCCCAGATTTGCTTCTTGGATTAGGCATTATTGTAAATAAGAGAACTAGAGCACAGAGAGGTTAAGTGTAGTTCCTAGACCTCACACCTCAGCACTGGGTTTCACACCTAGCCTACCTTATTCCAAAGCTTCTACCCTTAACCACTAGGCCACTGAAAGCCAGGCATAGGAAATTCTGTCTATCTAAAGAGATCAATTTAAGATCTCCAGATCTTAAAGACTAATTAATTCCCAGATTATTTAAGACTGGGAAACTGAGTCTGCCTTGGGATTCCAAAGGGACAACCCTTGGCCCAGTGACTTGAATGTACCCTCGCCCTCAAGTCCCTCTCTTCTCTTTATTTCCCAGCTTCCCAGGGGCTGTACTGCCCTCCTTTCCTACTAGGCCCCATCTCTACTTTTTCCTGGGCAACTCCAATATGCACATTATGCAGATTTCTAGATGTTGATAGATATTGGGATAAATAATGAAAGGGAAGAAAAACTAAACTTTTTCCTAAAGTCATAAGGCTCTACTCTTTGATTTTGAGGGAAATCAGCTCACGTAATGGTTTGTAAATGTGACCTTACCAATTTAGGTGACTTGGGAAGGTTATTTTTTATCATTATTATCATTATATTAATTTTTCTAGTAGTTGTGTTTTATTATTGCTCTGGTAGTCTATGTAGCCATTGGGTCCAGGAAAAAGGAGCCCTGGGAGGTGTGAAAACCGTTAGGAACTAAAAGAATGAAGCTATTTGCTGGCCTCCCCAGACAACAAGATGGTACAATCACCACCACCATCACCATCACAATCATAACTAGTTAGACTCTACAACCCCCACAGTCTGCAGGGAGAGCTGGCAATAGCAATGGTCTCTCTGCAAACCTTCAGTAGAAAACTCCTTTCTGAAGTGAACATGAGCATTTGATGGTTTTACCAATAAAACAAAAGACATTCCTGTCTCACTCCAGCCTTCCCAACACACACCCCCTATATTCCACAATAAAATTCTTGGTGCATGGAAGAAGAGAGGAACAAGTATACTCTAGACTAATCTGAAATTTACTATAGATGGTTTGGCTACTCAAATTTTTTTCTTCATCTATCCTGTCCCCTTCCCACATGGGAATTTGCTCTTGGAATTAAAATCATTTATAAAGTTCCTTTGTATGACTGGAGGTAATTTCTGGGCAGTGGGTGAAGATGCTAGATCTGTGGTTGTTCAAACAGCTGGGGAGGATCTTAGAATAAGGAACCGAAGATTGTCCATAGGTTGCCCTATGGTCCACAATCTAAGAAGGGGTTTGAGGCCCTAAGGTCTTGCTACCCCTTAGGGAGTGGTTTTTGAAGTATATTCCTTCTGTAGAACCATAAGAAACATGGAAACTTTAATTTCCACTTTTAAAAGCTGTAATAAAAATATGTGTGTTTAAATGTGATATGTACCAAATTTTACCACACTGGTGAACACATGGACCAGATTCTGAAATAAACCTATTATTGCTGTTTTCTGTTTAAGAGAAGACTGTTCTGAGGTCCCAGAGTGAACTGCTGAAACCTTTTTTGAACAACTTCCCTGTGTAAATTAGACCTTTCTCAGTAGTATGCAACCAAAAGATGGAAACAAACTGGTTGCTGAGGCTAACAAGAGGTTAATCTCTAATCCCAAATTTCAAATTTTTGTGTGATCATTATAACACTATACTAATTTAAAACTGCTTTAGTGTGTATTATATAATGAGGTTCCCCCTTAAGATTTCAACTAAGTAAAGGGCACCTCTCAAAGAAAAGAAAAGAAAAGAAAAGAAAAGAAAAGAAAAGAAAAGAAATATTACTTCAGATTATGTTGCAGAATTTCTGGGGCTGGAAGTATTCTCAAAATAAATCTGGAGTCCAGGTCTCTCATAGTAGCCAGTTGCAGATTTTCACCCATTACAATTGTATTTTTTATTGTCTTTTGGAGAATTACCTTTCCTACATTACAAACAGATTTTGTGGGACTATAATCTAAAATGGACCATCCTTTCCTGGGTACCATGTCAGGTCACTCCAATCCTTTCTTCTGGGAGTTTGAATTAATATTGTCCAATGCAAGTGGCCAAGTGTTTGGAGCTGACTATTCCTGTGGTCTTGCCCTGAAGACATTGTCCATTGGTTTCTCTGACCTGGCTCCTTTAGCACCCCTCAGGGTACTGTGCTTTTTGAGGCTTGTTGTATGGCTTTTCCTTTGATTCTTTGAGGTTCACAGACCTCTCCAGTAGACTACTGCCCCCTCTTTTTTTTGGATAGGCTAGCCAGAACTGTTTCTGTTGTTTGCAACCAATATACTCTGATTTACTCTTCATTTTGCAAATGGGTAAATGGTAGTAGCATCAAGAAGCCAGTGACTTGTTCAAGGCTAAGCTGTGAGAATTTGCACATGAGTTAAGACCATGCCATAGAGGAAGAAATGATCCTGAATCAAGCCACAAAAGTGGAACAAATCTTTCTAGAACAGAGTTCATCCTGAGTGTGTATGAGAGAGAAAAAGTTGGAGGGGGTAGCAGAGGAGGGAGAAAACAATGGTGTGGTAAGTCTTGGGGAAGGGGAAGATCTTCATAATGGTGGAAACATAACTGAGCCACAGATGTGTTTCAATACTGATCACTCAGGCAGGACTTGGCAGAATTACATTTTTAGGACCTTAAGGTTTGAAGAATTCTGAAAAGGTGGAGAAATGTTAGGGTCTCAATCTGAAGGAGAACCTGGACATATAAATACCTAACCAGGGATCTGAGTCAATAGAAACAAAAACTGAAAATCAGAGGGAATAGACCACATTTGCTAACAATGGTTTTAGCTTCTAACAAGGGTCAGTGGTCATGGCCCACTGGCCCGCAAGCTCTGTAAGGAGAGAATCCATATTAGATTTGTTTGTTTAACACAGTTTCCACAGCACCTGGCATAATGTGTGGCACATAGTAGGTGTTTAATACATATTTGCTGAATGAGTGAATGGGTTGGTCTTCCAAGTCATTGTCTGGACCCAACAGCCAACTAGTTTTGTCACTAATGGATAGGGTCTTTGGCTTTGCACCCCAAGCCTCACCCCCGGGGGCCAAATTGTGCCTGTTTGGTGAGCAATGTCTAGAAAACACAGACGCAGAGTTTGCAGTATGGTCCCAAGATTCTTATTACTGACATTTTCTCAGCAGCTGCTGTGGTACAAGACCAAAAGCTTCTTGCCCTACAGGCTTGCAGCCTAATGACAGAAAACAAAACAAACAACTGATAGCGTTTCTCTGTGTGTGTGTGTTTTTGTAAGGCACAGGAAGCATTACTATCTCAGATTTATAATAAGAACAGCAAGAATGATTATTTCCCACTTATAGACAGGAAATGAAAGCCCAGAGAAACATAGAGACTTGCCAAGTGTGCAGACTTGTGTCACCAGCCTCGCCTGGAGTACCCATCTTTCTTGTGCTCCATCCAGGTGGTTCCTATTCTATCCAATGCAGGGTCTGAGGTTTGCCTTCCAGATTCCATACTAGCTATGTCACCGCAGGCACAACCTGGGGTTTTTTTTTCCAGTTGGGAAAAAGTCCTTGGAAAAGATAGAGTTTTACAGAATTTAAAAAGTGGAAGACTGTAAGTGGACAAGTGGGCCAGGAGAGTTGTGTTGCCTATATTGGCCCTTGAGTCCCACTGTCTTCACCTCTGTGGGCAGAGATACAGGGTAGTTATCGGGGTTGAAGCAACTGCTCCACATAATTCTGTCTGACAGCCTCCCTAGAATCTTTCTTGTGTACAGGCCTTTTAAAAATGATCTTGTTATGCCATCATTGTTAGCAGCTTTATCTTTCTTGCTTATAGTGATTCCTTGGGGAAGAGCTCCAGCTTCCGGCGGGTATGGACAGGTAGCACCTCACCTTTTCTCCCTACCAACAGGTATGCCCCTAGCGGAGCCTTTGTCCCTCGAGGCACTGGGAGTTCCCATGTGACCCCCAGTGCTGGCTGATCCTTCCTCACAGATCTTACTGCCCCCTCTACCTGCTCTGTCCCCAAAGCAGCATCTCACATGCTCCCCTTGCAGGGTCCTTCCAAAGATGTAGTGCTGCACTCAGTTTCTCACAGACTCAAAGAAGCTCTAAGGATGGAATTTCAGGCAATACTTGGGACATTTTAGGTGACAGGCCCCAATAATTCAGGACAAAGATTGCTGCCTACTCACCATGCCTAGGCCCACTGCCTGGTTTCTGGCTGACAGAGCTGGGTCGGAGTGAGGAAGGATTCCCGAACTCCTGCTTCTTACTTGGAGACCAAACTCTAGGCTGCTGGAGTTTAAAATGCCTGGGGACCCATAGTCAGTGTTCACTTAGCCTGGAGTGGGAATAATTCATCTTAAGCCCCAAGGCCTCTGGCCTCTGGGAGAAAGGGAGCCGGCACAAGCGGCACCTTTGTTTGGGAGCCTCTTACGGCTCTAGGACCCGCAGACCAGAAGCTTCTGGCTGCAGGGACCTGAGGCAAAACCCAGTCACAACCATTCTTGTTTTTATCTGAAGACTCCCCAGGACGGACAACCCGGTGAGCCTGTATATGGCTCACCTTTCCTGTTTTTTTAGGGGGCGATAGGAGCTCCTTAGAAGGGGGTAAGGCCACTCCTTAATATTTCTCTGCCTGAATAGTCTGCATTTCCTGGATTTGGAAGCAGCTTTGCGTATTCCCAGCTTTAGGGGGCAGCATTGTCTCCAGCGGAGAAACTCTTAACAGGAGTGCAGCCCCTAAAGCAGGTAATCCGGCTTTCCCAGGCCCAGAGGACAGCGCATGCGCAGTCCGCGGGACGTCAGAGATAGCCACACACTTTCGAGCAGCCTACATATATTTGATTTTTAGCCAAGACCAAACCAAGTCTCCCTGAAGTCATGCGTCCGGAAAGCTCCGGCCCAACCTCAGCAGCCACGCCCGCGCTTAGGACTTCCTAGCCATACCTCCTACAGATTACCCGCCAGGAAAGGGCCCCTCGGGTCCCCGGGGAGCCGGGAGGCAGGACGCTCAGCAGGTGCGGCTGAGCACGCGGCAGGAGCAGGCGCTGCGGAAGAAGCGGCACTGGCAGGAGGCGCACGGGTCGCAGCAGGCGGGTGACGGTGGCCAGCAGCTCTTGTGGGTGGCTACGCAGGGGGTGGGCGGCGGGGGCCGGGGTCGAGCCACCTTCTTCATCGGAGACTGTTTCTGCAGGGAAACGCTGGGGCTGCCCGAGACGGCCACGGCCGCCCCACCCGTCCTCACCTCTGCCTGGCAACTCCTTGAGGTACGGAGGCACAGGGCTGACATCCGCAGCCCGCTCGGCTCCTGTCCCCAGAGCACCCCCAGCGGGTGCCCGCCTGCTCCCCTAGTCATGTGTCCCTGACCTCCTCACCACCAAAACTCAACTGGCCTAATCTGGCCCTCTTTTCTCCCTAGGGGATCCCACGCAGCTCCACACTTTAAAAAAACTACCATCTCTGGCGTCTCCCTTCCAGTTGCGCACAATCCCTGCAGTTCTGCCTTCACAGTCAATCCGAGGTTCACCCACTTCCTCACCACCTCTGCTACCCTGGGGCCCTGGTTATCTTCTGTCTGCTGTCCTGGTTTCCTGACAGCCCACCCTCCAGTGCACCAAAGGGACCTCTCCTAAAACCTATGATGGCATCTACTCTGGCCTAAACCTCGCGGTGGTTTTCTTTGCAGCTAGAATGAAACAAACGACTTGGCCCTTGAGGCCCTCTGTGGTGGACCCGCCCACCTTTCAGACCTATCTGCCGCACTGCCTTGCTGGCCTGCTTTCTGTGCATGGAAAATGAGTTCCTGCTGCAGGGCCTTTGAGCTGGCCGCCTCCTTCCTAGGGACAGTGCTGCTCAATACAGGTAGCCACTAGTCATATGTGTATGTGGCTCCTGAGTACTTGAAATGAGTCTAGTGCAACTGAAGAACTGAAGCTTCAAATTTTATTTAATTTTAATTAAAACTAGTGTAAAATTTTTTCACTAAAAACTTTGTTAGGACTACATTTGACTTAAACTGTTAAACAGTAGCATTGGAATTGAGATGTGCTGTAAATGTAAAATATACACCAGGTTTCAAAGAGTGCAAAAAAATGAATGTAAAATATCTCAACTTTTTATATTGATTACATATTAAAATAATATTTTGGATATACTGGGTTAAATATTTTCAAGTACGTGCTTCTTTTTACTTTTTAAAATGTGACTACTAGAAAATTTTAAATTATATGTGTGGCTCACTGTATTTCTTTTGGGCATAGCTGCTCGAGATTACTGAATTTTTCAGTCTTTATATTTAAGCGCTGCTTCTTTAGGCTTTCTCCAACAAGCCTTCCCTTCAGTGTGTCTCATTACTGTTTTAAATTCCTTCACAATGTTTATCATCATTCTGAATATATCTTACCTATTTATTGGTTTACTTGTTCACCTCTTTTCCCCACAGGAACATAAGCTTCATGAAATCAGATGTATCTCTCTTGTTCACTTCTACATTCCTAGTACCTAGCATGTAAATTAATTTGTCAGTTATATATTCTTATATGTCAATCATCTGATCTGCTTGTTTACTTTACTGAAGGCCCAGAGAGGACCAGGGATTTTCTCAAGATCACACAGTGCCAGGACCCATTTCCCAATGCCTAATCCAGGACTCCCTGCTTTGGCTACAGCTGATGTGATAAACTGAGGCACACTAAGACAGGAATAATGTGTATGTTTCACATTATTAATAAGGCATTCAACAATGCCTTAATCCAGTATTTCCCAAAGTGTGAGAAGCTGTACTATGGTGGTGTGATTTTAGGTGGAACATGAATATTAAATGATGCTGAATCATGTTGGTGAGAAAGGATGCCTTTTTCAATCTCTTTCATCTTGAAAGGCTCAGTTTGGTGTCAGTATATCCTTAATGGTTCCCTAACACTTTCCAGTCTGCTTTTAACACAGAGTAAGCCTCAGATTTAGAACCTTTGGTAGGCAACACTATCCAAATGAATCTCCTAACAATATTCTATTTTCATGTTACTTATTTTTGTGGTTACCTCCTATTTATGATAAGTAATACTGGTTTTCTATCATAGTTATATATACATACATTTTTTTTAAGTTTTAATTTTAAACAAATATATTAAATAGATGAAAATCAGTCATGGCAAAAGTTGTGGAAATGGTTCTGAAATAACTGAAGTTTAGAAAACATTGAATTTATCCAAAAGAATGAGTAAAGGGACTGTTGGTTACCATAGGGAAGCAGTTGGGGTGGGAGTATGGGGAGAGGGTTAAAGGGGCACAAAAATTGGCAATCATAGTGTAGGTTGGTCATGGGGATAGTAATACAGCATGGAGAATATAGCCAATGATTCTGTAACATCTTCCTATGTTGACAGATAGTGGCTGTACTGCGGTGAGGGGAGGATTTAATAATATGGCTAACTGTTGAACCACTGTGTGGTATACTTGAAACTAATATAAGATTATATATCAACTAGATTTCAACTAAAAAAAGAATGAGTGATGGTAGAATTTCTGGTGGAGGGATAGCTAGTATAAGAAGATGCTTTTTTAGCAGGTAAGCTATTTTGCTCAATAGACCTCAGCTCTCCAAGCTTCTGCTGGGTGGGGTGGTGGTCTGGCTCAGGCACATTGAAGATGATCAATGTGAGTGCACTCCCTGCTCTTTCCTGACAGGTCTAGAATATCCTGTTTTCCTGGTGAGAGGCAAGGCAGTAAAGGATGTTAGTTTTGAACTTAGGTTCTGGAGTTAAATATCCAGGTTTGAATTCCAGCTCTGCTAAGTAAGAACTGTGTGATTTTATGTTAGTTACTGAACAAGGAAGGCCAGGAAGCCTTTAGGTGGCTTTCAGTTTCTTTCGTTCATGTAGTTCTGGAAAATATTTCCTAGCAAGAACTCCCTTTTAAGTCCAGTCCCACCCCCACAGTGAGAACTCCCAGGCCTACCTTGGAAAATCTCTTCTCCTGTTCTGCCTCTTTTCTGCTGATGTTTTTGGATTTCTTGTTCAGTGCTTCAAAGAGAGACAGAAGGAACAAAACCAGATGTTTCTGGGGGCCCTGAGCTGCTACGAAGTGGGAGGCACTGAAGGGGCTCCAGGAAGTCCCAGGACTGGGGAGAGGTTGGGAGGGGGAGGTTGTCTAGATGGATCACATCTTGAGACTTGGGCCAGCAGGTTCTTGTTACTCTGGGTGCTAACCTGGGGCTTGGAACGGAGAGCCAAGTGCCTTTCCTCTGTGGAAAGGCAAAGGGGAAATCCCAGAAGGCCTTGTAAAACAGACTTAGTGTCATGTATATAGATGGACCTGTGTTTCCTGTATTCTTTTTTTTATTTTTATTTTTTATTTTGGTACCATTAATGTACAATTACATGAGCAACATTATGGTTACTAGACTCCCCCCATTATCAAGTCCCCACCACATACCCCATTACAGTCACTGTCCATCAGCGTAGTAAGATGCTAGACAATCACTACTTGTCTTCTCTGTGTTGTACTGCTTTCCCCGTGCTCTTGTATTCTTATTTTCCATTTCTCAGGGCTTTGGAGCCAGGCACACCTGACTGGAACCCTAACTCTGCCTTATAACAGCTGTTTAACCTTAGGCAACCTACTTAACCTCCTTAAGATTCACTTTTCTCATCTGCAAATAGGGTACTGTAATACCACTTTGCTGGGTTGCCTTAAGGATAAACGAAGGATGTTTATAAAGTGAAAAGTCTGGTACATTGGAGGTAATTAATCAACGTTGATATGCCCTAGCCCCTTCTCTGCTCTTCCCTGATATATCTAGAATATTCTCTCTTTCTAGTGAGAAGCAAGGTAGTAAGGGATATTAGTATTGCACTTAGGTTCTGGAGTTAAACACCTGGGTTTGAATTCTGGCTCTGCTAATTAAGAACTATGTGATATTATGTTACTTATTTAACTTTTGCAAGCCTCAATTTCCTCAGTGTGAAAAAGGAATAAAAATAGTACTCATTTCGTATTATTCAGCCATAAGAAGAAAACAAATCCTACCATTTGCAACAACATGGATGGAGCTAGAGGGTATTATGCTCAGTGAAATAAGCCAGGTGGAGAAAGACAAGTACCAAATGATTTCACTCATCTTGGAGCATAAGAACAAAGCAAAAACTGAAGGAACAAAACAGTAGCAGACTCACAGTACCCAAGAATGGACTAACAGTTGCCAAAGGGAAAGGGACTTGGGGGTGGGGGGTGGAGTGGGTGGGAAGGGAGGGAGAAGGGGAACAAGGGACATTACAATTAGCACACATAATATAGCGGTGGGGGGCACGGGAAAGGCAGTATAGCACAGAGAAGACAAGTAGTGATTCTATAGCATCTTACTAAGCTGATGGACAGTGACTGTAATGGTTATGTGGTGGGGACTTTATAATGGGGGGAATCTAGTAACCACAATGTAGCTCATGTAATTGTATATTAATGATACCAAAAAAAAAGTACTCATTTCACAGTGCCTAGCGACACTGTAAGTATATTTGTTATTATCAGACGAAGTCTAACAAAAAGATCTCCAGTGGCTCTAATGTCTGACGTTTTTCCCTGAGCAGTCATTCTCAATTCTCAACTCTGGCAATGAAAAGACTAGTTTGTCCCAGACTTGGTTATATTCTGTAGCATTTCCTAAAATTTTTACTGTTGGGAGTTCTATGATTCAATAAAATTCTGAAATGCTAAGTTAAACCAGATGCACCAAGTGTCTTGACCTCAGGTGTTCTCAAAAGTTCTAACATGCTAAGCTGCATATTACACTAGTGGCATGCAGAGCTTTCTTTCCCAAACCAAGTGAGTCAAAGGACGCTTTATTCCTCCAGGATTATTTTGAGGAATGAGCACAAAGGAACTCTGACCTATAACAGTGGATCCTAGTATCAGCCTGGGAAGCATATTTGAAATCCTGCAGCCCATTCTTATGGATCAGTTCCCTGGGCCCTAGGCCAGGCTACTTACCCACAATATAGACACATGGGGAACCCAGCAGGTTCACGGAGCAGTTGCTCATCAGTCTCCTGTCATCTCTGGGCTTTTCCTCAGGTACCAGGTGGCTGTAGGCAGTGAGGAAGCACAGGCAGACCAGCAGGGTGGCCAGGAGCAGGCGGGTGACATCCATCTCTGGAGGCCTGGGAGGGACAGAGAAGGCAGGCAGGCCAGTGGGCGAGGGGTCCTCGCAAGAGAACTTGCCCTCCTGCTTTCTTTGGGCTGGTATTCTGACCCCATTCTACAGTGTCCCAGTGGGGCTGGAGGACCACCAAGGCTTAGGACAGGGAGGGGGAACTGATGAAGGAAGAAGAGAGAAATGAAAGATGAGGAGGGGAAGAAAGACAAGGGAAGGAGGGAGACTAAAGCAAAGAGGGAAGCAATGCACTGCAATTGACCACTGCCTCCCAGAGTGTGGGTGCTGGCTTTTTTCAAAAGTTCATGGCCCCAGGAGACTTGGGCCTTGGGGGACTTGTTGAAAGGTCCCCAGTAGTGCCTCACAGTGGCAGGGGTTTTACTAAGTGCTGAGAATAAGGCTCATAAGTTAAGAGTCACTGAGAAGGATGCAGGGATAAATGGCTCCCCCAGACAAGTGTCTGTGTGCTCATGTGTGCTGTATTCCCACACTGAGAGGGAACGAATGCAGGTATGGTTTGGGTCAGAAGGATAGAGCTATTGACCTAGACTAACTTGATTTTCTGATTTATTGATTTATTACTAGCTGAATTTTGATGAAGCAGACAGTCTCAAAGTAGATTTCTTCCCATGAATGCCTGGATTTGGTGCAATCAGGGCCCACAGCTTCAGGAGCACCTTCATCTTCTCTGAGTGTGGGATTCCCACCCCTCAGCATCCTGTGCTTATTCTCTCTGGTCCGGGAAAAAGTTGAGGTTGCTTTTTGCAGGTTCTCTCCACCCTGTGATGAGGCACCTTGGGTGAGAAGAGAATGAAACGTGCTGGCTGCCCACCCCAGGCTCCCCTTAGAGCAGCCTGGCCGTTCTAGTCTCTTCCTCCCAGCCCTCAGCTGGGCTCGGGCTACATCCAGGGTGAGGGGACCCAAACAGCTGGTCCCCAACATTACTGTAAACTTCTTGAAGTTGGAGGGGATAGTCCCTTCCTTTTGAAGTCCACTCTTTACCCTCTCAGCCCTAATTCCACTTCTTCGGATTTTTTTCAGATCCTTTCATCAGTGGGCGTTTGCCTATCATGAACTGGCCACCAATCTTCTTTCTCAAAGCCTGGTAGTGAGTCATATACATGAGCGCTGGGATGGAATAAGGGTGTTCAGGTTCCTGTCTTGGCTCAAGCATTGATCAGATGTGTGACTCTGAGTACATGCACTCTTGTTTTATGAACTCCAATTTCCTTCTTGGTAAAGTGAGGTGGGTGGGCTAGCTCAGTGGTTTGCATTCGCAGGGGACCTCTTCCTTTAAACACTGATTTGCAGAATCCCAATATGTAAAACAGAAAGAGGCAATAAAGAGATTTCCCAAGCAACTTGTATGTTTTTGTGTGGTGGGGCAACACATCTCCTCAGGCCCTAAAACCCAGAACATCTCCTGAGGCCCTAAGGATTCCAGTTCAGGGAGGTTGACCTCTGAGGTTCGTAGCCTCCATCAGCAGCAGTTAACCAAACAAATGCATATCAGCAAAGGCTGGAGACTGGGCATAGTAATTTGCTCCATTCTCTGCTTCTCAGAACTGTGTGCTGGTCTCTGTCAAAGTCCTTCTCACATTGTTTATGTGTTTGTCTCTAACTTGATTTTTAAAAAAAGAGGTCATGTTTTACTCATTTCTGTGGTCCCAAACCTGGCACAGTGGCCAGTCAAGAGCAGTAAACCAGCAATTGTCAGCTGAATAAATGCTCATGGCCTAAACTAAACTCATCTTCTTGGCCAGGGGGCTTCCAAAAAGAACACTGTTAGTTGTCTCTTTAGCATCAACTATAATCTTTCCTTTTTCTAAGAGGACCTGGATTTCCTAGATTTTGGGTTACAGTGACCTGATCCCACATTTGGGGCACCTTGTTTATTCATGATAAACAGCATAACCCTAGCTCATCCTCCCAGTACTGGTTCAGACATGGGCAGGATAGAAATGACTGAAAATGATCTAACCAGAGGACACCCAGGCCTTTTTCTGATTATTTAGGGAAGCTCTTTCTCTCTCTCTGGATATGTAATAAAAAGCCCATAGTCCTGATTAGTGCTGGCTACCATCTTATAAAGGAAGTCAGTTTTAGGACAAAGCTGACATAGTACAAGGCAGAATGGACATACGGTCAGAAAGGACATTGGTAACATAATTACGCCATAGATTAGAACTTGCCTGTTGCCTGAAGCCCATCTTATATCTGGACTTATCAGGTAGATAAGCCAATACATTCCCTTTATTGTTTTAAATTAGTCTGCATTGAGTTTTCTGTTACTGTCACTCCCAGGCTTTCTAAGGATACCTTGCCTTGTCAGCTGTCCTGGAGTTGCATCTTCAGGTCTAAAGTTAGACTCTCAGGTAAAAGCTGCGGAATACAAATTTTCTCCAGCATGGCCAATGAGGACTGTTGGGTTTGTTTGTTTTTATCCATTTCACACAGAATAACTAGTTGGCTCATATTGTATGAGAAATTCCTTTTCTTTGATCACCAGGGCACAATCAACATAGTGAAAGGTTCACAGCGTGAGAGAGACGAGCACAAGAACTGAGAACAGCTGAGGGAATGACACATCCCCATGTCCCAGTTCTGGGGTGGTAACTCCTCGCCCCAGGGCAGCTGCTCTCTGGATGGGAAGTTGGGCAGCATCACCTGCACTGTTTCAATTGTTCCCCTCCCTTCTCTCGCTCACTCACTAAGTACATTCAGTTGATTTTGCATAAGTAAGTATGTGCATGATCTGACTCCACTGTTCTATCTTTGTTCACTGTCCATCCTCTCCAGTCAAGAATCTTGGTCTTAATCTTTGGCTCTTTCTTCCCTCATCTTTATATCCTCTCTTCTATGAAATTTTACTTGATGTTCCCTTTAATTATCTCCTATTTTTCATTTCCTCTTCACTCCGACCCATTCCATCTTCTCAGTGGAACAAGGCACACCGACTCTATCTCCTTGCTTTGCTCCCGCTGCAACGACCCTGTCCACTCTCCCAGCTTTCGCAGGTCTCATGTTGCCCTTCCTCCAGGGCCTGGCTCCGGCACGCTTCTGTTTCAGCAGCAGACCAGCCCCAGTAGCTCTTTCCCTTTTCTGAACCCTTCAGCTTTTAGTACTATATTGCTTAGTACTTCATTGTTCTTTAATTTTCATGTGGGACACTCTCATCAATTAGACTTAGTTCTTGTTTAAAGGAGGTAGGTTAGTGCAGCTGAAAGAATGCAGGCTCTACAGCCAGACAGATGTGGCTTCACCACTTACAAGCTATGTGAGGGCAAGCCCCTTACCCACTCTGAACCTCAGTTTCTTCATCAATGAAAAGGGATATCACAATACCTACTACACAGGCTGTGCTGCGAATTACAACAGGATCAGGAGTTAAGGAAGTGCCTAGTATGAATACTAGCCATCTATATTAATTAAAACGAACACATGTTTATAGAAGTTACATTCTGAAATTTTATATATTCTAACTCTAAACTCACACAGTTTTGGTTTTAATGCTGGACAATAAGGGACTATCCCTCGAATTTTAAGTTTAGAATGAGGGTGGGGGCCAGCTGTTTGGGTACCCTCTTCCTGGAATGTAGCAGACATGCAAACTATTGCTCCATCCAAGTTGAAGGCTGGTAGGAGCAGGATAGAAATCGGCCAGGCTGCTCTAAGGGATGCCTGTTTACTACATTGTGGACTTGGAAATTTCACTTAATTCCTCCCAGCTTCAGTTACCCCATTTGCAAAGGGATAGGAACCTCAGTGCCTGCCTCAGAGGGTTACTGAAAATATGGAAATAACCTTTCAATAAAGCATCTACTGCACTGCTGGATACATGGCATCACTCAGAAAGTGCTTGCTCTCGCTGGGTCTCTTTCCCACCTGGGTCTCCCTCTGCCATCTTCTTGGCAGCAGGTCTCTTCTGCCTGGCTGATCCTGCCAGCAGAATGAGCTGTATTCTTGCTGGTGGTGACTTCACTCCATTTTGGTTTACATCCCTATAGCTCCACATGCCTTTGTTCTCCGTCATCGATGGCTTCGAACTGCCTGTGCCCACTCAAAACCCCTCTACGAAGCCCTAGAGCTTCACGGTTGCCCCCCAGCTGCTGCAACTCTGCCGTCACATCTGCCTAACCAAGTTTTCCCTTCTGCCTGCTTGGGATGCCCAGGGCCACTCGGACTTTCACTTCTTGCCCAACCAAAAGGCTTATCTACCCTGGTTCAGCCTAACCAGAGCCAGCGGAGGTGCCTGGGATGGCTGGTTAGTTAGGACTTGGAAAAATGAGCTGAGCTGTATTTGAACCAATTCCTCCACTTCATCCTTCTTTGTTCCTGGGCTCTCCCTGCCCAGCACTGCTCCCTTCTGTCTCTAGTAATGCTGCTGGGCCTTCTCTCTTGTTCTCCACAACCAACCAGTCTGTTACTAAATTCTAGTGATTTTCATTCCCCTCATTCCTCACATCCCTTCCTCCCTTCCCATTCCTCTGTCCTTAGGGGCCTAGTTCCTCACACCTGGCCTTCCATAAGAGCCTCCTCACTGGCCTCCTTGTCTCCCAAACATGTAATCAGACTAAGCTTCCTTTGAAAGCTGTGCTTTCATTCATTCACTCATTCACTCATACATTCATGCATCTAGTTAACAAACATTTGTTAAGTACCTACTATGAACCAGCACTATGTCATGTTCTTAGATATCAGTCATGACTGAAATACACATGATGCCTGTCCTTATAGAGCTTTCATTCTACCAGGGAAGACTGACAAGTTAAATAAACTGATAAAGCTTGTGCCATGGGAGACTTAAACTAGTGTGGGGCCTCAGGAAAGTCTCTTGAAGCAAGTTGCACTGAAGCTGATAAAAAGGCTGATTTGGAGTTAGCCATGTTGGAGAAGAAGGTGGAGGTGACGATGGTAGTGTTACGGACAGTGAGAAGCACATACATGAAGATCCAAAGGCAAGAGAAAATTGTGCATCTAAGAATATACGAAAGTTCAGCAAGGCTGGCAAATATACGTAATGGGAGATCCAGGAAGAGGCCAGAACATGATGGCCCTTGTAAGCCATGGCAAAGAGTTTGGACAACATTTTAAGGTCGATGGAAAAGAGTTTTGAACAGGGGGAGGGATTTAATCACATTTGCACTGCAGAAGAGCCCTCTGACTGGGAAGTGGGAATGGAGGAGGCAAGACTGGGAGGAAGGAAAACCAGCCGATGTCAAGCATGTCATTCCTCTGTAGTCCCTGTCATTACTTCCTCTGAACACCTGGTAGTGCAGGAAGATTATTCCACCATCAGAGAAGCCAGCAGGCCCAATATAAATAACAGCCACTGCAAAATGGGGAAGGAGATCTCACCAGGTAACATCTCCAGACTAATTCAGAATACGAAGTGGCTCTCAGGGTTTAATTTAAAGAAAAAGTTTCCTTTGGTGTACAAGCAACTCCTAAGCAATAAACTTCAACTGCAATTTCTTAGGACCTAAGTAAGTTAGTGGAACTATGAAACTAGACTGGGTCTGGGATGGTGAAGTCTCAGTGGAATTACTTTTACCAGTATTTCCTGCCTCAGTCTTGGGGGTTGGGTATGTGCACTCTAAATGTAAAATAGGCCAATGATACCTAGTTGTATTATGATCCTTGGGGCTGTGTTTTTTTAGAATCCAGAATTTTTGTGGATTTTAGAAAAATAATATCATCGATATACTATATTAAAACACATATAAAGGATCTGAGAGCACCCACAATAAAAATATTAATGTTTCTGAAGCAAAAAGAGATGAATATTCGTAATAAACTGCATACATTGACTCCGAATTGTTTTGCATTGATTCAGGACAGGTTTTGTTGCCAGATAACTTCAGGTAAGGCTAGGTTTTGTTCCCAAAAGAGTTACCACAGGGAAAAAATAAACTTAACGGTTTTCAGAGTTTGGGATTTTGCAGTTTCGGGTGAAGGATTATGGACTTATACAGACCCTTATTGTTAATACTGTTCCACATGGGACACCCGCTCCCTGCTATTAATACAAG